CAAAACCCTGAACTTGCTGTTTCTGCATCGATTTTCTGCACGAATTCAAATCTGTTGTATTGTTCTCACTCGTTATCTCTCTTATGAAGCGACAGGAAGCAGCTGAAGAGCAGTCGCGAAATTTTTGGTACCAATAAATCCTGCCGTTCTTGCCTACTTCAGCTTCGTACCGGGGACAAAATGCTTCAGTGGAGAGTGATGACGTCTTCATTTCAATGGTTGTAAAGAAGGGATTTTTTGGCCGTCCTTATGCCGCGCCTGTTCAACGTGTCCTGGCCTTGCTTGGCAGATCTTCTTAGGTATCCGTTGGCCGTAAAGCGTTCGTGGCGGCGAGTTTGTTCAGATCTTTTGTTGGTATTTTGAAAAAGTGCGGACACCGCTATGTTTATGAGACCAGGAATATGTGCTATTGAAGTATAATATTTTCCTGTTACTGGTGACTCTTCTAAAAACCGTACTTTTCAATTCTCTGTTTTCCCATTAGCGCACATTTTATTTTGGTTATTTTGGCCGCTTCAATTGGTACCTAGATTCTTGGTCAACCGGTGGGGGGACCTATTAAAACGATTCTTGCTCTTTTTAAAAGTGTTGTACTCGTTATTTCAAAAGGTGTGATTATTCATATTTTATAGTACTCGTACCCGCGTGTGGGCGAGAGATTGAAATAACCACCCTCAGCTTGCTTAGTTGACAAAGTTTTGGACTGGAGTTTCAAGACACATCGGAACGAGAATGCTTCAGCCCACGATTCGGTCGGTAAATGGCTAAGTCCAGGTGACAATTAAAGTCCTGTAACTATTTGGGCAGACGTGAACGTGTGCCTGAGTCCCACACATGTAAGTCCTTGGCACTTCAAAATACGCATCGTGGAACAATTTTCGGCAGTTATCCTTGTATCGTGGACCTGTCCAATATACAACTTCTTCTTTAGCCATGTTTTATGTTAGCGGAATAAATCTAAAAGAGGTATGGACGCCCGGGGTTCAGTTCTAGTATTTTCCTCCTTACCGCGTTGGCTGTCTTATTTTGTTTTCTTTTGAGCCTATAATAAATATTTTAAGGGGTTCAGTCAGATCCTGTTAATTTTCAAATATGCACCGTTTGCAGCTTGAGTGAATCTTAGGCAGCATGAAATGACACAACTACTGATTTTTCAAGGATTACAGCTATTACTTGTCTTCGGAGGCAACCTCAGCAATGTTTTATATCGCGAGGCCTTGGCAGCAAGCACAAAGGATTAAGAGCTAGTTGTTTTCTGTATATTTACTAGGGGCCAGTTAGCCATGACGCAGACCCAGCCCTGAAATCAGGGACTTGGCACTTAGCACTGTTGTTAGCAAAAAACATGACAGTTTTTTCCGTCCTGATTTGGAATATTCAGGCCTAAGATTGAGGTGAGGTTGCCTACTGAAAGCACACAAGACAGAAATAATTACTCTCACCCCCTCTGATTTCATGGGTATAATTTGTAGACTAGACCTGTCTCGGCCTTCTGCGTCAGCCTCTAAAGATTGTAGATCAGAAGTCATCACAAAGCGGAGCGTCATAATTTACCATGTAATCGTGTCTGTCGAATTATGTTATTTCCACCTGACATTGGGTTTGCTGTGCATAGAAAACTGTTTTTGCTGAAGGATTTTCGGGAGTGAGCGGACACATGGGCCACTCAGTTGACGTTAGCTATGTTTAACTCAAATAGCGAACTCAAAAAGCGAATCCAGCAAGCCCTGTATGAAAATTCTTACTAAAACTTAAGTTAATAATTCCAAAGGGAATTAGAAAGCAGCATTTGTTAACTTGAAGCATAACAGCAGCAAATTGGGGAACCCTGGAAAATGATTCATAATTGAAATTTTACGCACTTATGCTCTGGCAGTCACAGAAAATTGGTGAAAGGCGTACCTGGACTTTTACATGGTACCTGTGTTGGGAATTTAGTGAAATACTGCTTAATTTCATTTGGGTGCAGTTATACAAATTAACTTCACGACACGAGATCAGTTATCAGGTGCCTAGGAGGGTGCATTTTGCAATACTCACTTGCGACGTATGTCCGATTCGGTTAATACTTTGACAGTAAACATAATGGTGATGCCGGGTTCTTTGAACTTTTAAAACTTTTTAAACTTAAGGTGATTGAAATATAGTTTGTTGCTATGTTTTATCACGGTTATAAGAGATAAAGTGAGTTGCTTGTTTTCGTAGTTTAAGTAGAGATGCTGGATTAATACAAGAGATTAGAAATAAGCCTTTTTGGGGGATTTGATTAATTCGTCAGACCCAATCGTGAAAATCCTTCCTACGTCGCTGGGGTTAGAATACACGACATCTTTGGCTGTACTCAAGCCTTGCCCTTGCTATCGTGAGTAAAACCTTACCGGGGCGCCGAGTTTTCACAAAAGAATAATACTAACAATGAGATATAACAAACCGAAAATGTGTTAGAGAATAGTTTTATAGTCATTCAGATACATATCCTTGTGGTTGCTTATCAACCTTAACCAAAAGTCATACAATCCATGAAATAATTTTCAAAGCTAGATGAGTAAACTACCCACCTCGGCGAAAGCAAGATGAGATCCTGTTTATACTTAGAAAAGATTATCCGTGTCCACCTTTTACGTGATAACTACGAACTACTTCAGAAACCTTTTCCAGAATCCGTAAGGATCTTCAGAGACCAGGTCTACTAGACAAAAGTCTTCATGACAAAATCATCAGACGTGTGCCAGGGATGTAAATCAGCAGTAGATTTTATGTTGCAGAAAGTAAATAGCACCTTTGTTTCTATTAAGCCATTATCAATCCCATCACCACAGCTTGCTCAAATCTTTCACAACAACTGAACGAATCACATAATCTTTTAATAACCGAAAAGCAGACCTCCCGCTAGATGCTTGGTAGTAGGGCCCAATCACGCTATATAACTGCTTCAACAATTCACCTTACACTCTGGCGGCTTATCCCTGTGAGCAACCATATTAAGCTTACTTCTGCTTTTTTAAGTATAATGACGGTTGTTGACTGGAAATGAGGTATGCTACTTCGAATGATAAGTATTAGGTCTTTTTTGCCTAATTAACAAGACGGGTTTTGCATTTTATGTAGTTCGAAATTATCCTGACTCTTCTTTACCCTGATGAAATAGTTGGTAAAAGTTGACGGTACTTTTATACTTTAAAAGAAACTATTGCGTCACATTTTGTGTATGTACTGATACAAACATGCCTGCAGAAAAAAACTACCTATGGCACGAGAGACCGGATTGGATAGTAATGATCTATTAATCGTCGCCGGTCGGCCATACCTCAACGCATGGTCTGTACAAACTCGGATAATGCCCGAACCTTTTGGTTATTGGACACTAAGGCAAACGTTATACCATTAACCCACGGGCTGGTCAAAGTACACAGGTATACGTGAATTATGGTTTTTCGTTTGCGAATATTGACAACATTATTTTAAACCGGTTTGTTAGAGTTTATTGGTTGAAAGTGTTTGAATATGTAGAAGAATCCCAACTCCCACCGGTTTTACGGATTTTTGTTCAGGTCTCGTAAGTATTGCATTCTACAAGATTTCCTAACCAGGTTGTATCATTGACACGTTTACCAGCGCCCTCGTGAAAAATATTTTAAAGAAATTTAACTGATCTCTACTCATAGTTTTTTTTT